ACCGTGAGTTCATTACACAAGCTGTGAGACCGGATCCACAAATCAAACTGTGTAAATAAGCAAGTTTTGTTCCTGTGGAGCAGCCGCTGCTGTTGCCATGCCTACCTGTTGCACATCTCAAGGGTTACCAAGGACGACCTTCTGTATGCATCCGCGGTGTTGTATCAGTGTGACTGTGGGAGGGGGTTGGAAGGTTTCTGTGTATGACAGTTGACAATGACCAGAGAGTCTAACTCCTGCTGTTCATTTTATTTCAAGTACATCTCCTTGGATTTCACGAGGTTTTACTGTCGGCAATCTAATTCCCATTAATTCAACACATGAAGCTGATTCTGTGGCAGACATTTCACTCTAACATCTTCCTCCCAACATCCTTAACCATAGAGATATTGGTGACATCTCCTTGCTTTTGTCTGAATGTTATAGATATTTTTTTCCACTTGTAGGAGCATGGAGGCTTGGGAAGGTTAGGTTTTCCCAATGACTAAAATAACTGTTTTATAGCTGAACACAGGTGAAAATTCTCAAAGAGTGTTTCCTGACTAAGCTCTTGCAGTGAGAAAATTCTGTTTATGTGGCATCCATCCCAACAATGTACAGAATGTCTACCTGGCAGCTCCTGTGCCATTGTAGGAACTGTCCATTAGTCCTTTGTTAGCAGAGATGAGGACAGGTTTTGTGTGTGTGTGAATATGTGTAAACAGACAGACTAATGGGCCTAACTGAAATCCAAACATAGGATCTGGCAGGTGATCAGTGGTGTTTACTTCCCGTGGGTGAAGTGGAGCTTCTCTCGGTGGATGGAGGAATAGAGAGTGTATAGTTTACTGGCAGTGGTGGATCACAAGACTTGGGGCATGCACAAGAAAGCCAGAAAATCAAGGCTTTTAAACTTTTATAGTGAAAGTTAAGTATCTGTTAAGATAATGTTTCACTGTTAATCCCTCCTCTCTCCCTCATTCCTGTGATACCTGCTTTTAACTGGTGCGTGCATGCATGGTCTCTGCTCTGCTCTCATTTCTGACAGCTCCCTTTTACTCAGAATTGTTGGGCATAGATGCTGATGTATAACCTGACTAAATCTTTTCTTGTCTTTATCTGTACACGCAGAGCGTCAGCTGGCCAGCAGCATGACCAGCAGCAGCACTCTTCCTCCCAGTGTAAGCGGGATCAGTAAGGAGCTGGCAGAGCTGCGGCACCTTGTTCAGTTC